ACTCAGCCCTTGCTCGACATTAACCCCATTCTTAGTCAGGTCAGTCAAACGCGCCACTTCAGCAGAAAAACGCGCAATGAAGCGTCGATAGAAATTAGTAAAACCCAAAAACCTTCGTAATTCCGCCAGGTTTGAAGGATACAGCCATTCCTTGATGGTTGCCAATTTCGCTGGATCCATCTTAAGACCTGTAGTCAAAACTACAAAACCCAAGAATACAACCTCCTCTTTGAAGAACTCACACTTAGTGGGGGAAGCTTGCAGGTTATTTTCGCGCAGCTTAAGGAGGATCTTGCGAATATGATCTTCGTGCTCCTTGTCGTCTTTTGAAAAGATTAAAATGTCGTCCAAGTAAACAAAACAAAAAACGTCAAGGTATTCATGCAGCACATATTGAATGAAGCGCTGAAAAACTGCCGGTCCATTCGCAAGACCAAATGGCAACACTAGGGATTCATATAACCCACCCGGCGCTCGAAAAGCAGTCTTCCATTTGTGACCTTTAGCTATTCGAAGCAAGTTAAAGGCTGCCTTCAGATCGATCTTAGCAAACCTCTTGCATCCCCGAACTCGGCTCAAGAGTGATTTAACGAGAGGAATGGGATAACTGTCCCTCACTGTGACTTTATTAAGACCTCGATAGTCAATACAAGGACGATTCTTGCGTCCAGCACTTTTCGCGAGAAAAGCCGGAGCGGAAGCAGGGGAAGAAGATAAGCGGATAAAACCCTTCTTCAACTGATCGTCGACCCAAGCTTTAAGCTCAGCCTCATCCGCAGCGGACAGGTCATAAGCGCGGCTGGTTGGCGGTTCACATCCTTCCTTCAAATTTATAACGACGTCATGCTTACGATGCGGAGGTAAGGAAGTGACTTGCGGCAGAAAAACATCCTCAAAATCAAGAAAGCATTTCGGAACAAATTGGCGAACTTCATTTCGTTCAGGAGAATCATCTATATCTTCATTATCACACATAAGAGTTAAAGCACCAATCTCAACACCTCTTCCGGCGGAGCTACAGTGAATAACAGCACGGTTCTTATCAAGCCATGGAAGACCTAAAATCACGTCGTAACAACCAATATTGTTCACTTTCAAATCTAAAACCAAGCTATCAGAAACTTCCAATCCATTCGTCAAATGTCCAATCCCTAACCACGAATGAGTGACTAAGTCGCCTCCTGGTGTACCATCAAAACCCGAACATGTCAAAGGTGTAGGTAAGGAATTAGTGAACAATTCATGACTGCGAACAACACGCTTATGGACAAAAGAGTCCATGGCACCAGTGTCTATCAAAGCACGGACCGTAACACTCGAGGATCCCAAAACCAGATTCAAAGGAACACAAAAGCGAGAAGAAAAAGAAGGAATCGGCGCAATACGTACCGCGTTCAATGCCATGTCTATGCCTTGTAACTCCAATTCATGATCAATCCACTCATCCGTCATCTCCTGTAATGCGTCATTTGCCTCTTGACTCATCGCGTCAGCCCAATTTCTGCCCAAAGGAGCATCGATCACACGAGATGACGAAGCAGCCGCAATAGGTTGGTAAACTTGAACTGGTGCCACATCGGTTGAGGGGCGATGCTGCTTAATAAACTTGAGACGTTCTTCATAAGAAGCCTCTGGATGAGGACAGTCGCGACTAGTACGATGGGAAGTCGAAAAAGGACCTGAACAATTGAAACACCAGAATTGTCCCCAACATATCTTCTTTACGGCAGACCACACTCTCTTCTCATCCGAGGAGTACTCCTTGGTACCCACCGCATCAATTTGCATAGAATTTGGATCAATAGGAACGGGAACACAAACAACAGGAGCTTGTCGCACAGCAGCTTGAGGGGGAGGAGCACGATAGTGCATGTTTCTCGTATTGAACGGATGGCCTGCTATTTGAGAGCATTCGTTTGCCATAGCAGCCGCCGTAGAACCTATGCGCATCTTCTCATCAAGAGTCGTACAGGCAACCCATCCTGGGATAAAAACCGCAATACTGCTAATAGCTGGATTAAGGTTAGTTCGATACAACTCCATCTGAGAGTCAATGCTGAGGCTAGTATTCGCTGCAGTGATTCGAAACGCAGAATTGAAGTCTGGCAACGGCTGGTTGCGCTGCTTGAGGTTCTGCAAAGCTTCGTTAGCATTTCGAACCGAGTTGACATCCCGGAACTCATCAATCATAGCACCATAAAAAGCTTCCAAACTAGAAAGTTCACCGATAAGATAATCAAAAGCCTTCAAATCCGCATATTCGCTCCAAATTCCCTGCGAGTGAGCGTTAGTCGCCAGCAACCCTCGAAACCAGGCCAAAGCAGTTGAAGAAGTTGTGACACCGCGAGCATCACGAGTTTTGAAGCGCTGTGCCACCCAATTGATACGACGTTGTTCACCTCTAACGTCGTTCAAGAACCTATAATCGACCGACCTCATAGCTTCCCGGATTTCCATCAGGAAGTCGCGAAGTTCCGTTGGTTCACCTGGAAAATAAAGACCACGAATAGGAGCTGGGTCAGAATAAACCACCGTAGCTTCGGACTCGTCCCGTTCGTCGCTGAACAGATCACGAGGAGGTGGGTTAGGAGGGGGAGCTCCCCCAACGCCTCGATTAGAAGCTGCCGGAGTAGCACGACGCTGTTGAGCCTCCGCAGGCTGAAGGTTAATTTCCGGGGCTTGAGCTGCTGGTCTAGCTGGATTCGGAGCACCCGGGTGATTAAGAGGAGGAGCAGGCGAAGTCGCTTGTCTGCGACTGTCGTTAGCTGCAGGAGGAACTGGCGCGGCTTGAGCTGAAGGGGCCGCTTGAGCCGAAAAATAAGAAGATGGGCGAGAGTTAGCATAACTTTGCGTCGCGGCACGAGCTTGATAATTTTGCCGCATGCGAGTTCTAGGGGGCTGAGTAGTATCGTTTCCAAAACGCGGCTGGTTATGCTCGAATCTGGGCTGAGGCTGGCTAAACTGTGCGTACATTGGAGAGTTCATTGAAAGACGATCTAGACGGTCAGTAATAACGGACATTTGCGAGTAAGAATTGGCAACAGTTTCCTGTAATGAACGAAGACCTTCCGTAAGGCTTTGAATTTCAGAAGCAGTGCTGGTAGTTGACACCCCTGAAGCACTAGTTTCAGTCGAAAACGAACGACGACGCTGACGCATCTGATGAGGAGGGATCTGAGGTGAAGGAGAGCCGCGTGGAGTTTGACGCGGAGTCGCAGAGGTGTCTTCATTCATTGATTCCACACTGTCCGACCAAGGGGTCTCATTCATGGATTCGTCGTTGGATAAATTTATGGACATTCTGGAAAGAACTCGACTTGAAGAGTTAGGGAGAAAAAGAAAAGAAGAGGTAAAATGCAAAAAATTTCGGAATATTTTATCAAAAGAGAAATATGTTGAACGCGACTTGTTTTGAATTTTTCAATTCATCCGAGTCTTTTAAATTTTGAACTACTTAGTTCGAAATTATTGTGCTACCAGCACGATGAGGAAGTTTTTATTGAGTTGATATCAGATGATCTGATATGACGCTTGTTTTATTGAAATCAGGTGAACTGATGTAAGAGTGATAGTAAGATCGAAACAAAATGTAATGACCTGGCTTGTATTTAAGAATTCTTTATAATTACGCAATTATAAGAATCCGGAATCTCAAATGAAAAGTATTCCTAAGCCTTAATGTTGTATTTAAGAATCTCAGATGAAAAGTATTTCTTATAACAAATGGTGACAATAATAACAAATTGTTTCGATAAAGAAAAGAGAAACAATAACCAACTTCACAGCTGATATAAATAGAATAAGAAAAGAAAGATCATGTAATCCTATGACATCATAGTCCTTTACTAATCAGAGAACGCGACATGTGCATAACAACCCGAAGTGCAACTCGTTCATCACATGATCAACCTTGAGACCAAGAGGGGTTGCAGTCCCTTTGATTGGGTTTGACTGTATACTGTGCCTCGGCCCTCGAGGCGATTCGAGTGCTCTCTGAGGTGCCCCGGGTCAGATCGGCCCCTGGCCTTGTCTCGGAGAAGGACCGGGCCGCAGCCCTGGGTAAACTCCCCGCTCGAACCTCGGACCTTTGGCAAGGGACTTGGTTAAGTCTGCCGGGCTCCGCTGCTGATGCTCAAAGCTGTCGACAGAAGAAAGATGGGAGAAATCATAAATTGCTCAGAACCTGCTGAACTTTTTCGTTTGAACCTCATTCGGTCACCGCCTCAAATCATATGTCTTCACTCACCCTTTGAACTTATTATCTCTGTCACAAGCGATCTCGGTCAAGTCGTTTCACACTTACCATCTGCTGGCCTTAATTGTCAGTGATAAAATCAACAATTTAACGACGCGGTCGTTTCCGAACTCTGACTTTGACGCCTGGGAACAGTCAAGTTGGATTTGATCTTATCCAACGAAGAAGACGATCAAGAAGATGATTCCAGGAGAGGCCTGATGAGTGTAATCTTACTCCAGAATAAGAAAGATAAATCAATCGACCACGGTCATCAAGCTCAAAAATGTGCCTTCCAATTCAACCTCACTCAGCCCACTTCGACTTTCAGTATATCGATTCATTCGATACCTAATGTCAATAGCCTTCGAGGTGCACTCCGCTTTACTCCAATCTCTCTCATCGATCAACATTCACCTCCTACATCTTGCCAGCATTTTTCATTCGCCTCCTTACTGACCTTCATGGGTCTTCCTGATCATCATCAATCGATTCATGCTCTCCCGCTTCGTACAAATCCCTTTGAATTATCATCACCCACACGAAAGTCGTCCAAGCATTCTTCAGATAAAAGTAAAGTACACAATATATCCAGAAAGAAATTGCCTTCATGTAGTCTCATGCATTCTTTTCTCCAGTCCGACATGTAGAACGTTTGTTTTACTTCACCAACAATCTGATTCCGCCGATTCGAATAACAGAATGTCCAAACGGGACTTCTGGCTCAGGGATAGGTGGCAATCATATCTGGGATTGCTCTCTGATCATGGCTTGGCTGATCTCCACAGAACCGCAATTGGTGATTGGAGAAATCAGGTCAAACTGCGAAAAAACATTTGATCTCGAAGTCATAGAGCTCGGAGCTGGATGTGGTCTTGCCGGCCTTACGGCTGCTCGAATCCTTGACAGGCGCGAGAGCTTGCGGTGCCGTGTCATTCTTACTGACCTGGAGGAGGTCATATCTACCAGCCTGGCACCCAATGTCGACAGAACCAAACAAGCGCTGTCGAAAGACACCGCTATTGAAATCGAAACCATACCTTACACTTGGGGAACTTCTATACCATTCCCAGCAGTCGATTCAAAAAAATCGCTCATCTTGGCTAATGATGTGCTTTATAATCCTGAGAACCAGGCTGTCTTCCTCGAGACTATCCTTCGACTCTTTGGGACACGTCAAAATGTCTCCACTCTTCTCGCCTATCGACCCAGAACAGAAGGTGATCATCTATTCTTTCAAACTGCTCAACGTGCTGGACTAGTTGTGGAACGCATCGCGCGTGTCGGCGCAGTAGTAGTTTTCAAGATTTCTCCCACATTGTCCAATACTGATCGATAAAGTACCAACCCGTCACAAATATATCATGTTGTAGACTAGAACAGAAATGAAGTTTACATCATCAAAATAAGACTGTTGTAATTGCACTCTTGCAAACCTGTCTACAAACAGACATCTAGATCATTCACCTTTCAACAATAGTCAAAGGGCCATTCAAAGCTAATCACTTCTCTGGCTTGATACCTGGTGACATTATTTTATGTCACATTCATCATGATTGGTATTGATGTCAGGATAGCCTCTCATTGCAAAATCAGGATTATCCCTGATTGGATCACATCAAGGACCAAATAGATATATCAATCAATATTTTGGAAAGAAGACCAATGTTTGACTTGTGTTAATTTGAGTTGTGGCAATAAAGGAGGCTATCCATCTCCAATGTTCAAATAGCAGAAGTGCCCATGCTCAATAGGGGCTTTCAGGTACTTCTTGACACTTGTGTTCACTGTTTCAGTGGTGTCCTCTCATATCAAGCACAAGATGTAATAGCTGGTCAAGACCAGAGCTTGGGACAACATTGATGCTACCCACAGGAATATCTTACTGAATGTGCAGAATTTCACCTTGGTTCCTGGGGCAGGATGGGGTTTGGTGCAAGGACCTGGTACCAACTGGATGTCTTGTATGCATGTTATCACTTGATTGCAGGACTTGTGTGGGCAATTTGTTGGTAAGGAAAATCCTGGCTTGGATCTTAATTCAATTGTATTGAGGAAATGTTGGCTATCTGGGCTGTATTTTTTCTGATTGATGCCACCCTGCACAACATCATACAGAGTGGTTAGAAAAGCAAGATGTTGGTGTAGATAACAGATTCCCTGCTTGTCTTGCAGCTTCCAATAAACATCCAATAAACAATGTTACTTATCTGATACCATCACTTTGAATTTTACTGGCAATGAATATATATGATTGCAACAAGATGTTCTCTGTAATACCTCATCTGCTTTTAGCACAGGTGAGCTAAATTCAACAACAGGATGTGGAGTAAGAACATGGGACTTGGAGGGGAATACTCCTACTATTCCATTATGACAGTTGCTCAGTTTGAAGCTGCCATACCAGGACAAAGTTGAAGAAGAACATTCTAACATAATGTGGGTTTTGCCTATGAACATTTTCTTAGGATTCCAAAAATTTGTTGTGAAATTATACATTTGGTAGAGGTGGGTGAATGTACTGTGATGCATGCATTGGCACTTTTTTGGTACAGTGCATCGTAAAAAAAAGACCTTGTATGTCTGCATTGCAGTGGATGAAGCACTTGACCAGCTTCAACATGTACAATACAGCTTATCATAGGCTTTTGGCTAAACTGTGCAAAACATATTGAACATATAAAGAAAAACATGCTCAAAACAAAAAAAAATGCCACCAGGTTTGAACCCTGTCGCTGTTGCACTGGGGTCATAGCCATAGCAGTATGATCCCAAAGAGCCATAGCAGTAAGATCCCAATTATTCTATTGTGGGGCAAACTGTGAGCATTCCAGACAGCTTGTCATGCATAGCATTATTCCCAGCATCTTTACCAGAGAAGTGATCTACAGGGGGGCTACCCTTCCCTCTAACAGTTTCTGCTCTGTCACATTCTGAAAACTCAACCCATTTTATTCAAGGCTGTGTGGCATGGGTGCAAGCTACAGGTCTTGATTGAGATACCAACCCATAATCAGAGCCTACAAGGTGTTTATGTTGGAATTGACAAAAGACTGGGCTAGTTTGTTGGGAGAAACTCATGGATGAAAATTTCTGCATGACAATACTCAAGATGATGACAGGTTGGGGATTTCCCATAGTGCAGTATTATGTGAGTGGTGGAGAATTGGTACCACCAAGATTCTATGGATCAAAACATGTGAGGGTGGTGGGCCTCCAATGGAAGTCTAGTTGTAGCCTTGAAATTCAATCTTACACAGAAGCTGAAAGCACAATCCATGTCAGGCAGATATGAGGATCATGGTGGGGACCGGGTGTGTTCAAGAAATCAGGATCTGCGGTCTCTTAATGGGCAGTAGGGTACTTATTGGGCATGCAGTGTTTTAATCAGGGTTGATCTCACCTGTTGCCATGCTGCATAAAAGTGCAATTGGCATTGTGTTACAAGGTATAATACCACAACAGTGTGTGATCTGGCTTATTCTATAAAAAATAGAACCCCTAGTTACAGCTATTTCATTATGTATGTTGGGCCAGTTGGGGCTCAAATAAGAATAAATGACCTGACAACCACTGTATATCAGAGGTGAATTCTGATGGTTAAGCTTCTCTAAGCCACTTGAGTGTAACACAAACAGTGGACCAGGGATGGAAATGCACCTGGCTGATTTTTCCACTGCCGTGGAGATGCCTTTCCATTGTGTGCATGAGAGCAATCACAATCTTGGTTTTGGAAAAGTTCATTGAGCTTCAAAAGGTTCAAATTAATTCATACTTCATATTTCATGTGAATTTGTCCCACACATAATTCACCCATCCTGTCTTTGAGTGCACAATCATAATCTCACTGCCTGACCTGGCCACACATTTGGCTCATACAAGCTCACAGGATCTCCCCAAAAAACCAGAAGCAAAAGCCAGGGAACATTTTTAGCCTCACCTTGCAATTGTTGTCCAATGTGCAAATTTGGAGATCTGAAAACTCATGGCAGTTGCACTACATTGACACAAATCTGCTTGTAAGGACATGTTTAGTTGGTGTACAATATGCATGGTCCACCCCTCTGTGCACAAATTTAGCTCACCTTTGATTGACCCTCCACACCTCTCATCAATATATGCACTCCTGAACACCCTCAGATCTAACAATGCCAATATCAAATCACAGATCCTCAGGATTATTGGAAGATAAATATGGGAGAGTCTTATTCAAGTCTTTTGAGCCCCTCTCAGGTGATGACCACAACTTCAAGGCATGTGAGGTTGTGGTTTCTCAAATGGAAGACATTTCTCAACTACCTAGTGAAACAACCTGCAGTCCCATCTTCCCGTATCTGTGTCTGTAGTCCTGATTGTAAGGAGAGAAAAACATCTCCACATCTTCTTCATCATATTTGTGCAGGCAAGAAGAACAATCCAAGGTCTTATGGAGGTTGTTGTGGTGATGTGGATGAAAAGTACCAGAGGTTCATGGAAGACACTCATCGAAAAAGTGCCCAGTTTGGATGTAAACCTTTGAAGCTGGATCATGGCATCATGCTGATGTCAAGTTGTATTATGTGAGTAGAGTCTGAGATGCTTGAGACGACAATCCATATCTCTTGGATGAGGGGCTATGAAGGGAGGGTAATCTTAGGATCTTAAATTTTAACACGTTAAGTTACATATTCAGACTTCCAAGATTTGATCTCGGATGATGGAAAGCGACCATGTTGCCCTAAAGCCAACCTCAGATACAAAGATCATGCAAACGACCAAGAACAATGTCCAATCGACCTTCGACATCTTTCTTTGACGAAGAACCATCATCCTCATCCCGACACCCCATTATCAATACTGATGAATCAGCTATTACCGATGAGGCTCTGGGTTTAACGGATGAACCAGCTGAAGACTCTATCATTCCTCCTGAAAGCTTGACCGAAGAATTGATTCGACACTGGTCAAACGAGAGACTTGCACCCGAGGTCTTGATGCACCAGGAGCCTTTTTTGGAGACAGTTTTAGACCGCATAAAACAACAGGTTGGATCAACACTCATGTATACAATCACCGGCGCGTTATTGAGATGTACTCCAGTCTGAAGCATTAGAAGTCTTGTTGGCGTCTCCGGATGGACTCTCGAGTGACGAACATTTCAGACTTACACTGATCGAGACTGAGATCGAACAGATGAGATATGTGTGTAAAGCTTACGCTCGGTGTCGAATGTTCAAGGTTAGCTCTATTTTAATGTTTCCTTTGCAACCAGGTAGCAGATGTACTCATTGTTACAATTCATCAATTCGATTTTCAGCTGGATAAATACTTCGACTATTATCTCTCAGACCCCGATGCGCGAGCGAAGTTGAGCCAAGTGGATATTGAGTACTGCACAAGGTTGGTGAAATTTCGCTTTCCCGGGTCTATCACACGCCTCCGATGCATCTCAACAGCTAGAATATACTAGATAGCACCAGTGACTGATGATATTCCCTTCATTATCGACTTCATGCAAAATTAGAGAGCAGACACTAGTCCATAATTTGCTTTTCAGCTCAGTTCTCGAAGGATTACCTGCCAAATATCGCGCAATGGAAGAGCACATGAGTTAAGATATCACTTCTTCTGACTTCATGCGTCGCATTGTTTTCCCGATTATCGAAAATAGTCCCGGTCCTTTCCGTATCTTAACGCACCTCGATCTTTGATTTTCGTTAACCTCACAGTTGTCAAACCTGACCTGGACAATGCAGTCTTCGTCATTGCTCGAAGGACATGTGGCCCGGTTCAACTTGCCACGTTAGTCTGAGATTGTTTTTCTTGCGGAGTAATCCATCTTACTAACCCAGCCTTGAAATCAATCTCTCAAATTCTGCAGTTCCGAAAGGCTAATGTTAGCCCAAAACTCAAGACACTTTGTCCGGTATCGAACAATCAAGAGCTTACTAGAAAATGGAGATGTACGATTGATTTGAGTGTAAGCCAGTCTGGTAGATGCTGGAAATGCTATCCATCCACATGTCTTTCTATGCAACCCGCCGAGTTTGTTGTGTACCTAGAAGCCTTCCCTAACAAAAAAGCACGTGTCCATTCTGCGATCATTCTTCTGCACAGCCAACATCTTTGCCTCGGCGCATTTTCGAAGAAGTCAAGAAATGACTAGTGCATGAATGTTGCTGCCTAGGATGATGTCAATCATAGGGACGAGGTAGATGATAAGCTTGATTCAACAGAACATCATCTAGCAACTCGACTCTCTTACAAACAAGTCCGGGGTTGTATGTAGCGTGTTGCGGTGCTAGATGCATGTCCATCTCAGGGTCTCTATGGCGGCAGCTGAAAATTGGACAGCTCAATAAAGATCCAGCAGAGTGCCATAATGCGAAAAAGGATTGCGAGGGCGCTTACATACATGTATCACTGAAGTTGAATCAAAAATCCACTTGTTTCTTCAGAGCTCTCGTGCCTAACCTTTTGCGAACGGCCGACCCATGTTTGTAAACTTTGTGGATTTGATTCTAGATCGAAACGCATCCTCCACTTTTTGATGTATCTTGTGGGCGCTCGATTTGCAAATTTCACCCCAAGATGTCAATGGACCAAAGTGGCGATGGACATTGACCTTTGATCAAGCTGACCGCGTCAATTCCACTTGCGTAACTTGACTTGATTTGTCCAGTTGGTTGAATGCAAGAGAAATCATGTGGAAGATTTTCGGGGGCATCTCAAAACATGGGAGTCAAGGTATAGGCACCGTTCCCCCAGGTGATTATATATCAGGGTAACCGGGATTACTAGCACAAGGATGAGACCGGTTCTGACTTGCATCCTTGATCGCTCGATTTCCGCGGTCATCAGCCGTATACAGCCGTGACTTCTCTTCAGCTTTACAATCCTTCACAGCTACAAAATTGGAACACTGCACGGCCTGCAATTTCATAAGAAGATAATTCACGCTTCCGCCTGCAATTGTCCAGCCACAGACCTCGACCAAACTTACCACGCGGAGATCCTGCTGCTCCAGGGAATGAAAAGACAGGGAGTCATGCAGGTGTTGAGTTTGAGGTACTGGAGTATCTCCATCCCTCTTTCCAGATACTCGATTATTTTTTCACTGGCACCTTCATCTGACTTTCACTTCACAATCATTACAATGAGCCAAGCGACTGTAAGATATTTGTTAAAACTTGACCTACTTTTCAAAGGTGTTCAGCCCTCGTGCGTTTTCTTCTGTTCCACACAGGTGCACTCCGGCGCAGGGATCTCAGCCTTCATAGCGGCACTTCCACCCAACATCAATGTCTACGATGCCCTGATCCCCTTTCTCTACAAGAATGCTTCGGCGGTAAGAGTCTCGTCCAAGCATTGGTGTGCTGTCCGAATCTTCCTGACGATTTCAATATACACGCTTTCTCTTGTGGAAAACATATATACTATACTCTGAACTATATCAAACGGCAAAAAACTGACTCGAATCGAACAGTGTAATCCAAGGTGGATGTCTTATGTGCTGATGGTATTGCTCTTAACGCATGTCACGTACGTTCTCTATTCCTTTCGATCACCAGTACACTCAAGATTTGTGTTTCTCAAAAATCGCCTGCCTTATTCACCTCACGTATTAAGCTCGTTGTTTCTGTCGCTATGGGTTTTCAAGAAACATATACAGACGGGAAGCTACTGGTTCATAAAAAGATCGAAAAGTGAGACATATTTTTAATGATCCTCTTAGTTTGGATATCATATCTTAACAAAACCCACGGCCATTCATTAATGAGGTGAATATTTTTGCTTTAGGTGGTCTTCTCAAGCCTGATCGAGTGTTGTGGGAATCGATTGGAACTGCTACATATGCCGGGCGTCAGTAGCATGACCTAGTTGATACATAAGAAGAAGATGCCACTGATTATCATTATGCACACAGTCAGCATTGTCGACATGTCTTGCCAATTATATACTGATATCAATGAAATTCCAATCCGCGGCAAACTTCTTCTCGAATGGTACCGGTATCCTATATGTGGATTTATGTTTTGGTCCGCTTGATCTTAATGAGCTTGAAATGCAGTTTTAGCTGGGTGTTTGATCTTACTGACATTTACCAAACTACAGGGGTGTCATGTGGGGAACCATTTCCAACCGCGTCCGCGCAATGTGGGATCCCACGTTTAGGGAAGATCACGCGGCTGCTCATTGTGGAATGCCTAAGTGGGTAACAAACACACTCAATGGAAGTTTTATCATCTTTGGCGTTTCAATCCTTATAGGTGGGTCTCTTTCCAAATCATCCACAATCTCAAAGTCAGATACTGAAAGCTCTGATGATCACAATACATAGGTTTACCAGCCTTATATATTCCGGTTTATCTCGCCGATAATCGAATTCTGGACATTCTTGATAAAGTAGCGGATGGACTCAGAATTGCTGCTTCTTCGTCGGAAGCTAAGAATTTTTCGTGGAATACACTGAACCCAATACTAGACCCTTTAGCAAAATTTCCACTTCTTTATGTGAGTCTTGACGTTATATCTTTGGTCTGATATTCTGAATTGAGCTCTGTTCATCTTGGTTTTTGTCAAACTAGCATAAACTTGCAGTAGCATTCAAGCGAACCCACCGCGTCTTTGGAACACTCGATTTTACATTGATAATTGTTTGTTTTTATATTCTTGAGCTGACTATGCTATAACATGGATCAAAATGTCAAACTATTGGACTCTGACCAAAGCAATCTTTTACAGACGTTTATCATCTTTGTCTTCTTGACTTATAAACACCATCAAGCTTTAGAGCAAAACGGAAGATCGCTAGGGATGGACACCAATCCTGCGCGCCGCACAAGAAAAATCTACCAAGAAGAGGTTAAATCTATCTTCATCGAAGCATTTTTTATCTTGATATGGCAAAGCTCTTATCTCCCAGTGTTTATCTGGACGGTCAGTAAATGTACCTCAGAACCTACTGCTCAAACAAGACTTGCGATCTGACGAGATTCTTCCATCGTAAACGCAGTTTTGTGCCACCTCTGATGCTAAGCTTTTGCTTTCATCGGCATCGGTGATCGTTCCTGAATTGGTAAGTACTCCTTTCTGCAAAACAAGGTGATTGAGGCAGAAAACCAATACTGATATCTGTCTACCCTTCATTAAATTTTCCTTTGAATTCAAGACGCTTGGGTTGGTGGCGTCTGTGGTTGCTAACATGTGAGACAAATTTGTCTGATTTGCTACTTAGTCTTGGCGGGCTAACATTTTACTTAGTGTAATGGGCCACAGGCTGGCCTCAAGTAAGCGGATGCTAGCGTGTCAGGTGCTACCTACAAATTCAACTTCGACACCAGATGAAGACGGGATCAAGCTCAGGGACAGAATGTATCAAGAGTATAACAAATACAACGCTTCTGGTATAGGGTATATTAGTCAGATGACTGATCATAGTTCGGCTGAGAAAACTTCTTCCGCACTAAGTGAGGCTACTTAATCAAGTGTCCTATTTCCGTGTCATGAATTGGGCGAGATAGATGAGAATCTTGCAACACCTTCGCTTTCGATGTATGTTCAGCCTACGTGCACTCTAGCCAGCCGGCTACCCTCGTTCACTTGTTCAATATTTGTATGAACACCAAGACCCTTCCTTACATTCTATGTTTTAAGTGCTTTGTCTTCCAACCCATCGCACAACCTTTCCATGTTAACTTATTTTCGTATATCTTTCCAGACAATAGCTTGCATTACTTCAAACTCCGCTATTCTAGAAATGGACTTGTATATCACGTGGAACATCTATCACATCCTTCATACTTGTGAAATGAATTACGTTAACGATGACTTGCTTTTGCATACCAGCAAATCACGACTACTGAGTTGCTTTTTGCTCGAAGCAGGCTTGGTTGAAAACTTATTGATGGTATCACCAAATTGGACTTTGCCTATAAGGTTGAAAGTAAGCAAAAGACATGGATCTGACGGTGGCCCAATAGGACCAGATACAAGTCAGATCAATGAATCTCAAGGTGCCGGTGCAAAGATGTCTTGCTAAGCAAAAAAATAATCAGGCCAAGAGTGATCTTGGCTTATAATTTATTCAGTCTAATAATCAATTTTTATCGCTCCGACTCTTAGTTGGTACATAGTGCTTCACAGACAAAACCCGTACACGCTGAAGGACTGTTTTAGTTTGTATCTCGGTAGCTATGTGATACAACTCTATGGCTTTGAGGCTGTGGGGCTCCTAACTTAACTAAGTCCCTCCTCCTCGCAGGCGTCCTCCGGAGCCTGCGGAGGAGGGACTTACGACTTATCGAGTTGTTTCAGCCTGAGTAGATTCCCAAAATCCAGATTTTCAAACATTTGAAACTGGACCTACATTATTACCTTCATCATTGCTTTGTTGAAAAATCTGAACAGACCAAAAAATTCTCGCACATCCTGTACATAGTCTCATCAACATGATCACATTGGTTAATATGATTCTTTTCCTTCAATCATCAGATTGAAATCTGTAACAATTTTTGAAGTCGATTGTACCACTGCGGAGGCGGTTGAATCCGAAAGATGCCCAAAAGGTTTTGGACGATGGCAAAAGAGAGAGAACCATGTCAAAAGAGAGAGGCGATCAAGGAGTAAGAGGGAGGGAGAGAGAGCGTCGTTTTGATTACGAGAGAGAGAGACAGACTCGTTTGTCTGTGAGACACGGTGCAAAAGTTTCAAGGGAGGGATTGGTTCTGGCTCAAGCTTTTGAAAAGCATACGAAAAATCAAGCTTTCAGCCCGGTTCTCAAGTTACCCAACCGATCAACTCACGGCGTGTCGACGTTGCTTTTCAATGGTCACCATCGATTCGCCTGCTTTCGAGCCTGAAGGAAGAAGAGATACTCTTCGTAGCTCAGCTAGAAACAATCTGACACCCGCGAAACATGTACAAAATAATCGACGACCTACTGAAGTCCTCGCTTATTTGCCTTCGGATGCAGTTCCTAAGCAAACTCATGCAAAGGTTGTTCTTCCAGACTGGGTCCTGGCCTTGACCGAGGAAGAATTGAGGAAGCTAATTGAGGACAATCATTTGAAAAGATATAAATGCAAAGCTAAAGAGCTACAAGTAGAAGCAGTTGTGGCTTTGGTCGCGGGGCGTGATACATTTATACTGGCGGGCACTGGCTATGGAAAGACTCGAGTTGCAGAGATGTTTCTGGATTTGTTTGCAATAGAGTCAAAGGCCACGCTTATTGTGTTAAATCCGCTGGATGCTTTGGGTGACAATCAGGTAAGTGATACATATTCCATAATCATCATCGGAGCCCATCATGTTACTATACTTTACTTATTAATGTAATGTTTTGATCTAAGGTTACTGAGAAAAAGAGATGGAATATCACCGCTGTGAATTTGAAAAAGGACAGCTTTACAAGCGCTGTGGAAAATGATATCATGACAGGTGTTTACAGAGTAATATATGTGGTGAATATTTTTTCTCGAACCTTCAATTGTTCATTCATTGAAATGAAGCTGATGTCAAAATACTTTGGATTTTTGATAAAGAGCCCCGAAATCTTTTTAAATAGCAAGCCTTTTGAGCGTATTTATTTCAGTATAAAGTTTCAAAATCGTCTTATTTTGAAGGTAATAGATGAAGCGCATATGATTTACTGGTGGGGAATGGTCCAGAACGGACAAGCAAAGCACTCGGCCGCGTTCATGCGGCAACAGGATGGAGGTCAATTTCGACCATCTTATGGAGAGCTGTTTCTCCGTCTGATAGCTACAAATAAAATTCCTCTTCTATTGATGTCAGCAACTTGTGCACCGAGGCCTTTCGCCGCGATTCTCAACAACTTAAGCATCCAGGAGGTCGATCTCAAGATTGTACGTGGCGAACTGAGTCGATCGAATATCAGAATCATTCGAATTCAAATGGACCACGGGTTAAGGAGTGCATTAGATTTAAAAGCGCTTTATGCTAAAAAGGAAGCAGTGCCCGATTGTGATCTAGTGAAGGCACTAATCTACTCAGGTTCAAGGAATGCTACCTTTGAGGTGATGAAAGTTATCAACAAAGCCCGAGGCACACCAAAAGGCGAGCACGATCCAGACAGCTCTCTGATCCGAAGGTACCATTCATGTATCGGAAATAAAGAGAAAGAACGTGGAATTTTGGGTTATACAAAAGACGAATTCCCTCTGATTTCCATTTATAAGTTGCATTACATCAAGATTTTTGGAGATGATGATTATTGTGAAAGTGAAGATTATTTTGGAATTGGTGAGGCAAGAACAATAGTCAATTCACTTGATAACATTAAGCAATCACAGGACATCGAGCAGGCTATGGGTGGGGATATAATTGAAGGAGGTGTCAAGCTTGTTTTTGAATACCTCGAGGAATGGAGGAAACAAGACATTGCATTACAATATTCGCAGAAACAAGCAAAGCTGTTAGAGATGAAAAGAAAAGCTGATGACAAGCGTGTGTTAGCAGATGTCACAAACGTCAAACAAATTCCGACTGGTCCTGCAGCAGCAACCAAGAAAAAGAGAAGGTCTTCAGCTCAGGTCAAAGCCGATAAAGAAGCTGCCATCCTTAAAGCTGATTTCAATCGGCGGTGTTTGAAATGGATGAAAGAGGATAATGTTCCAGCTGATAAACTTGATGAAAGAGAGGAGGCTTACCAAAACGAGTGAGTTGTACTCTTTGCTGAACCAGTCCACAAAATCTTCATCAATAGTTCCAAATCCATGTCGCAGATCAGATTCATTAATTTCTTCGCTTTCAACCGGTTGATTTTCATCTTGTTCTGGACTGTAGTTTGAAGCAACAGGCCAGTGGAAACGCTCAAGTTGATTTTTGCGATACTCGGCTTTAAGCTTCTCAACCCCAAGGCAATGGATATCTCCCAGAGGTTTCCCAGGTATGGTTGAGTTTGGACTAGATTGGTGGATCCTTTCGCTTCGGGCCATCTTTAGAAATCAAATCATGGAAGCTGGTGTGATTTTATTTTGACGGGATTGTCGCACATTGTTCAGACCTGCTCTACCCTTCATTGTATTAACCAAATGTGAAAGCTGCATCCAATTGATTTCAGCTATGAATGGTGATGACACCATGATTAAGCCCGATGAGTAACATACCAGACCCACTGTAAGAGAGTATGTCTCTTTTAATCTGTGAATGTCTGTTCCGGGTCCCTAATTCAGAACAAAGCGATGAGTAGTCAGTGTGCAAAAGAAATAGATGTGATAAAACTTACGGCGTGATTATAGAAGTATTTCAGCCAGTAGTTTTTTATCTCAAGATGGAAATCTTTAGCAACAAAGTGGCCATGTCGACCAGTCGGCGATATTAAGAGCGAGTGGAGGATAACATGGGAAAGATTCTTGGGAAGGACTTTGGTAAGCAGCCGAATCAGTCGAGGGAGATATCGAGAGTAATGAGTCAAGCTGTTGATTCCTTGGATTTTCACACTCCAAGACTTCCACATCAGGAGAAGTCGACCAATATCACCATCCGACATTGCACGATTGGCTTCAACCACGGTGGCGAAATCCCGAAGTCGTAGTACCAGCTGGAGTTTCTTGCTATCTCCATTTTGGCGCGCCAGACGTGTGGCTCGTCCCGAAAAGTAAGCTAAATATACTTTATCAACGGCTTCCTCAAAGAGCTCAACAGTCATATCAACGAGATTGTGAACTGTATCAACAGGCAGATCTAGTTCATCACTTGAACGATGTACATCATAACCTTGTCAGTAAACATATTTATTTGGTGGTAAGAAGCCTTGGGTGAACTCACAATATGCAGCTTGCAATGGTGGCCTCATGTATCTGTTCAATCCATCTGATCATCGAAGTGAAATCTTTCTTAGCAGTTGGTTTGAGTTTACTTCCGCCGAGCTCGACTGCAGTTCGCCACGCTCCTAGATCGTTCTTGTTGTCCGGATTGCCCCAGTGATGTAGTAAAATGGCTTGTCCAATGTTCCACAAAGTGTGGCCCGCACCAGGAATCATTATCAGATGTGATAGACTTTCTTCGGCGAATTTTGCAGGAGTTCTTTGGCTTTGTAATCCGTGAAAATTAAGACAGGTCCCAAGATCCCCTTCCAAGATTTGCAGTCGACTCGAAAAATCCTCAGGGGAGAGGCCGGTCTGTTTACTGATCTCGTCATAAAGGGAAGCAATGCCTTCAGAACCGTTGTCTGATGAATCCATCAGTTTGAGCATGTCGATATCAGGTATTTCGGGCTTGATCTGGTCAATGGCGCTAAGGTTCAATATTGACAGTTTCTTGAACTTCTTGGGACTCTTCATATATCGTAGGAGGACCTGAGCAATTTGATTCTTCAGAGTGAGAGTCCATCGAATTTGTTCATCTTGTGTAGGAAGTAAATCTCCTGAGTTTACAGGCTTTTCACAATCGGATTTGACAAAACCCTGAAAAGCTGGCACTGTACATTCTTCTGAATTTACAAAAGTGAGTAAATCGGGTTTCAGATAATGAACATAACCCCAAGTACCATGGAAAATTTTGCTAGTTGCATCCAATCGCCTAGTGTGTACCCGCTCCATCATGTCCAGATTGTCAATACATATAAGGAAACCGAGAGTCCCAGCAGCTTTGATTTTCTTCTTGATAGACTTTGCGTTATCCTTGGCAAGTACTAAAAGACCACGTAGAGCTGATTTCCGACTTGCACTGAGTCCAATCTGATACAAATACTGGTTTACTCGTTCCGAAACGCCACAGGCAAGCAAAGTGATTGTATTTTGAACTTGAAGGGAATTGCATCGGCGATTAGATCCAAAGGCAAGCATTTGAACAATTGTGAGAGCCATCTGCAGATGATATAAAGGGTCAGTGTGGCATTCTTACCGGGCACTTTCAGAAAATCCTTACCGCTTTCAATCGGGTCTTTGTGTTTTCTGCTTTGTTATTTGATTTGTGATAAACGTCATCTTCAGGCAACTTAGTTTTCGAAGAAAAGTTGTTGTGCAAGGCCAAGCCGGTGTCGGAATCAATGTTGAAGTCCTCTTCGGAACCTGAGCTATCGGAAGTCATTCCAACTCCTGAATGCTTATCAACACCAAGTTTAAAAGATATTAATTCATGGATAAAGTTCATGCTTTTGATGATAGTTGCCTCTCTTTTAACATTGGTTTCGCGGTCAAAGAAAGTTGTATCGAGTTTGTTGATGTTGATGTAAAGACTACCAGTTGGGGGAGATTGTGCTGCTACAATCACCTTGGCCTGTGGAAGGGTAAAATATTATAATTGAGCTCACTTCACTTGTTAGATATCTGTATCAAATACTCAAGTGTACCTTTTTCAAGACCCAATCATTCCATTTCTGTCGACATTGAGGCTTTTCATTAACTAGGTCGTCAATCGCATCAAGAACTTCTTCGGTAGTTTTCCATCCCTTCTTCACGGAACCCCACTGTTTCTTACGCCTGACGATCAATTGGTCAGAGGATCGTAGGTAAGCCAGGAGAAATTTCTTGGTGTTGGTTTTGTGTGTTGACATATACCGACAAATCCTTTCGACAAGATCGGGTGTTCCTTCAGGGGTTGGTGCTGATAAACCTTCCAGTGTAGGATCCAGGTGAAAGCTAGTGTCTGATCCTTTGGAACTGCTGTTCATTTCGAATGTTGTCTGAGTACAACTGAGGAATAAGGTGTGAGGAATTCAAAGAAAAGGAAATTGTGTCCGAAATAACAGAAATAATGTATGGGTCAGGAGAGAGAGTCCAAAACTTGATTTAACATATATACAGATGCACATGTACTGTTCTCGCAGCAAAAAAATAAAAAAATAAAAATAAAATCACGATTTTAATGATTTTTGAGGTCCTTTGGACTTTTTGATTTGAAACCTCTTGAGAGGAATCTGAAGAGGCCAAAAGATGGGCAAGACTTTGTTCTATAGTCTGCCCGGATGAAAGTGAGGAGTCATTTTGTGTGACACAGTGAAAATGAGGATTGGAGATGGCCCCTGCCAAATCCAAATCTACTCAGGCTGAAACAACTCGATAAGTCGTAAGTCCCTCCTCCGCAGGCTCCGAAGGACGCCTGCGAGGAGGAGGGACTTAGTTAAGTTAGGTGGGGCTCCGAGATCAGATGAGACTCGAGAGAATTCATGGCTCAGCCTGATGATGATGATGAAACTGACCCCTGGTGATGGAAGATAAATCTGTATATGCCTTGGAGAGTTTGAACGGCTTCAGCGCCAACACGTCATCCCTCGTGATGACTTCCCTCCTTGCAGATGTTTTGAGTTACGGTAGGTTACGGTTCTGAGATGAAGATTGTTTACGACTTATATAATTGCCGTCCACTCTGAAACAAATCTAGTGTACACCCTCACGTCGAACAAAACATCGAAATGTGATCGTCCACGCGGCCCGCAATATCTCGCAATATAGCTCGGAATATGATTTCTTCTGATGAACACTCGTTTGACACCAAGTTTTGCCGCACCACATCAAAAGGCATCAAAAGGGTCTTGTGTGACGGCCATTTATTCATTCACATTTCAGCTATCCTATCAATACCTTATCCTCAGACCAGAAACCGGTGAGCGAAGGGCACATATCTGGGTGCCCTGAGAATTCACAAAAGCTCTCCTCAATAATCATGGTTCGAAAACACCCCATCACATTCATTACCTTCCTTCTTTTCCTTATCCTCACGATCACCACTCATCACATCAGTTCGGGTTTGAAGATCCCAATCCGAGCAAAGCGATCTACTCTATCGATACACAAACGCGATATCATCAGAGGAGCCAGTCTTACCCCCACTAAGCTTCCCAAAAGAGGCCTCACAGAATTCAGCCAAGATACTGTGAACTCAATGGTGAGCATGGTCGCTCCACTAAATCTATGATCACTTTCGAGTGAGAGAGAAAAAGCGCTGGAATTAGGAAATTTAATGGCTTCGCCGTCTCATCATAACACTCTCAAACGTGATATCCAGTCCGCCAGTCCTCAAAGACTAAAACGAAGAGCTCTGACTCCGGAGGCTTTCCGAGCAGCTACGGTCAGCGCAGTAGAACCCATGAATCTAGCAGGAGGCGAAGCAAAACTGAGTTATCTTGCAACTGGATTCAATAAACCTATCGAAGGCTCGTCAAACTTAAAGGCAGCTTTACCTTTTGCTAATGGAATCAAACATTCCGATACGATCGTATCAAACCAAATACCTACTCGTTTCTCAGTCCAAAAATTCCGTTCAACTGGCTCTTTTTGGGTTGCTCGATTTACTTCTATTGGAGAACAAAGGGCACGCCAATGGGTGCGCCAATTGGTGAGTCTAACTCTCAAAGTTTCAAAGCAGACTCTAGACGTTGATACAATGTTTTTGTCATATATAGCTGATATCACAAGCTTTAGCCTCACATTGAATGTGCATAACAAATACTATAGATCACAAGCTTGGAATACAGGTGTATTGAGTAGCAATGAGAATGCCGGTGTGCAAAATGTATCTTTCGAAGCATACCACAATAGAAAAGAGGATTTTGAGGCTCCAAACAAAAGTCAATGAATAAAGAGTATATAACCTGACAAATTCATCATGAATTTTCTCTCACGTATCTCGGAGTCAAGATGAACTCCAAGATCAACTTGGAGAACTTCCGCTCCTTGTTGGAAGATATGGAACACGTGATCTAAGACTCACAGGTAATACTGCTTAGTTAAAGATCAACAATAGCAATAACATACCAAGTGTGGAAAAATAAGATGAAAGATGATACAGAGCCACAAAGTGAGAGAATGAGACACTAGAGATCGGTACGAGTATTGATATATGGGAATGGGTAAAAGGAGGTTTCGGATAAGTGAAGTAACCGGGTCACAGAAAGACATCCATTCCTCAAAGACAATCATTCTACCACTCCTCTCATATAGGATCGAAAGAAGAATGATGTCATCTCAAGGAACTGGATGTCTAGGACGAAATAATCCTTTCCCTAGTTTCCAATTTCTATTGTCATAAAAATTATCAAATAAAAAATATTATTTCTTTCCTCCTAGTTCATTATCCTGAAAGCGTCGTTTTATACTTTTTATATTTCATATCATCTTTATAAGATATAAAATTTGTTTACCTCCCGCCCACCCAGGCTAAAAAGTATATACGTGTAGAAGTTATAACAAAAATTTACATCTAAGGGGCAAACAGACAATTATGTAGGTGATTGATAAAGCACGCCGACTTGGAAACAAAAATGACGCCGGTTCTCCTTAGCTCAGAGTACTCTGGAAGCTATACAGGTTGTACATTGATGCACAGCGCCTTGAAAGACTTCAGGCTCTTCTGGGAGCTTCAGGGCTGTCTGTAAAGACTTTTGTCGAGTCTGACGCCGGTTTTTGGGATACCAAGTTGGTGTCAACCCTTTTGATTTCTTTTAAAGCTGTGAGTGTGACACCGTGATTGTGAAGTACTCCCTTGCTACTGGTCAGCTAACACAATCATGTATGGTAATAAGGGAGAATCAAGTGAAAAAATTGCAAATTTGATGTGATCAATTCTCTACAAACCCCAATCTCTCAATACGCCTACCTCACTACAACCATCAAGAGAAATTAGATAGCCAGGTTTGGGTGTTTATCACAATCAAAACCATCAAAGAAACAATCCAATGACGTCCAATAGGTGCCGTATCATGATTTTGACAATGATTGACAACATTGTACTTCCACTTGCTGAAAGACCAAGGTCTTATCAATGACTCTTAGATATACATAGTAGTACCCAATACATAGGTAAATCTATGTAAGTCAAGCATTGATGTCTTTGCAAGCGAGCCAAAAACTGTATGGTTGCAAATTTGGCATCACACACTCTGGTGAAGTTGGTGGGGGGTTTGGGCTAACCTCATAAGGATGACGCCGGCTAATAATGTCAGACCCGACTCCAGAAAGCTTCACAGCCATGCTGAAGCCATTAAAGGAAGTTCCCAACTGTATAGCTTCCAGATTACTCCGAGCTAAGAAAACTGGTGTCATTTCTGTTTTCAAGTCCATTATGTATTAGCAACAGTTTCTCTTTTGATTTTTTTAAATTCATTGTAGCGTTGTTCACACTTGTTTCTTTAAAAAGTACTTAGCATGAAAAGACAAACGCAGTTGTATTAGAAACTAGTTACACATTCCACCCTCAGAACTTCCTTTTTGTTCCATCACTTTCCATCTCTCAGCTTTATTAGACCATGCTAATCAAGCCAGCCTCTGTGGCTGTTCAGCGTGAACCATGATACATACTTATCCAAACCTAAGACCCATTCCTTGCATTAGCAGATAAGAAAACTAATCATTGATATCAGGTCTACCTGTGCATGCGAGATGTTCTGCAATGAAAGGATATCACATATGATGGCAGAGTTACCCAAGGCACACCGGGTGACTCATCTGGAGTCAAGCCTAAGCCTAACTTTAAGTACAAACCATATAAACAGTTTGTGCAGTAGAGAGTGGTAGAAATTTTAGAAGACGGAAAAATAATTCAACTGCTCCCACTACACCAGATTGCAAATTTACTGCTGAGTTTAGAGAATTAAGAAAACATAGAAAATTACACACAAGGTGGAAGGGGTCAAAAAAAACATGGAAAAATAAGGGTTGCATTCCCCTGTGTGTGCCCATCATTTTGCATGTTTTTACAGATTTTTATGGCAGCAGTGTCTATCAGGTCAGAACCTCAGTTTATGTCCAAAACTGGCAGTCATGGAGGCACCAACCTTGTGAGACCAATAAAATTGTCAATCTTGTGTCAACATCTGTAATGTCTGCCCATTATGAATCAGGCTGAGCCCCGGACCCGACGCCCCGAGGGGTGCCCAATCCCCGCGGGGCGCGGTCTCGGTCACCTTTTTTTGGTCAAAAAATTTTGGGGACCCCTACGGGTAGGGGTGCGGGGGGCATATCAAAGAAGGCCCCCAAACCGCGGGTTGCCCGCGGGTTTTAAGAACAAACAAATAGATTCTTTAATAAAAAACAATTTCGAAAAGACGATATAAGAAATTTACAAAGGGTTCAATCATCCTCTTCTTCATCAATTTGAATAATATTTTGTACTTTGTTGAATTTGTTAGGGAAATACATAACTCCAAAGACTTGATACCATTCCTTGAGGCACAGAAGGATCTCCACGCTCATAGGAGCTAGAGAAGATCGTTGAGGAGCAATAATGGATTTGGTCTTACTAAAGGCTCCCTCGGATGGAGTGCTGGTAGCAGGAATGGCAAGGTACATCCTTGCCATCATTGCAAGTCCGGGTAAGGCGCCTTCTTTCCCCTTCCAGTAAGTTAACACATTGTCGCGGGAACGATCACAATCCCCCAAATAGCGATTGATTTCGCTTTCGATGGTGGAGTATGCCACCGGCTCTTTGCTTCCATAGATTGCTTCAGCAAAGCGATTTGGCTTTCAAGTTGATTTTTTTTTGGGAATTGGAGGAAGTGAAGAAAATCTTGATGCCATCTTGATAAAGACTTGCTTAAAGTCATTTGGAGTCATGCCATAGTTGCTGAAAAATTCGGCTCGATCCTGTGATAAAATTACAACATATGTCAACATTGTTTCAAATCATTTTAAAGAAAATGCTTACCTCAAAAAACCTCATCTTGAGGCAATGATTCAAGATGGAGGCGCAGACAGCTGCTGGTTTTCGGAGGGCTTCTTTAAAGTAATCCTCCAGCTTCTTCAACATGTCCTGGGCTGCAGGCAGAAGCTGGTGGTGGTCATACTGTTCCTTGACCTATATTAAAGTAGGAATGATCAGATCGAAGAAAAATAATAAGATGAAAAAAAAGTACCTTGAGCAACCCATCAATAATAACCGTGTAAATAGGAATCACCTCATGCATCGTAGGAAATCGTCTTTGACAGAGCATGTCAGTAGCTTCACTAAGAGGCTCCAAAAAGTCGCACATCTGTTGAACATATCCCCATTCCAATTCTGATAGAGAAAACCTTGGGGCTTGGCATTTGCAAAAGTGCACACAGGCTGATTTCAGTCGAAGACATCGCTTAAGCATGAGATAGGACAAATTCCATGGGGTTGGAACGTCCACCATCAACCTGTCCACTCAATCAGCTGATGTAGTAGGTGGAGTTTCATCGGGGTTAGATGCGCTGCAATGCTGGAAAAAAGCCAAGGCCTTGTTTTGAGCTTCCTCGAGTTCATTTGGGGAATTGGAATTGGGGTCAGCAGACGCTTCGAGAGATCAAACTAGAGCAATAACACTCGCAAAACTCTGACTTCGTTGAGGTGTCTTTCGTGTGAAAAGTGCCAGACCGTGTACCCGAGCATAAATGGTCTTGAGGTTGACTGAAGTGTTGTCAGGAGGGTGGACAATGTTGTTCAGGGAAGGAGGAACAAGGTCTTCATCATCGGTCAAGTCGTCTCCAAAAAGGGCAAGGCCCTGCTTGGCCTCTAGATTAATAACATGAGCACAGCATCCCAGCATCTGGTTTTCCTCAAAGTCGAATTCGGCTTCTTGTGAGAGCAATCGAGCGACTTTGCCATTTACACTGGCGTTATCGGCCGTAATCGCAGAGAGCTTCAAGTTTAGGTTGTATTTACGTATGTACTTGACAAGTATCTTGCTGAAGTTATCAGCATTGTGGGGACCTATAAAAATAATTGTAATATTCAACTTAATAGTAACTCGAGGAAAGAATGAATAAAAAATAAACTTTTACCTTCTATTTGAGGCATCCCAATCACAACATCCATAAGCTTACAATTGGTTGTGATGAAATGAGCAGTGATTCCTAAGAAACCATGATGGTTTGGTGAGGTCCAAGCATCTTGAGTGAAGGCTACATACTTAGCTCGATTGAAATAGTTGGTCTGAATAAAGGTTTCATAGTGAGAGTGAACTTTGTGACAGTGTTGAGCTATTGCATGTCGCTGAACAAGCATCCCAGAGGTTTGGGGGTTAATAAGTAAGACAAGGTCTTTGAATGACTTTTGATTGACAATGGCGTAGAGAAGGTCGCAATTGGAGATGAAATAGCAAATTGCTGTTTTAAGGGTTTCGACGTTAAGAGTTTCCTATAACAAAAAGCGATAAAAAAATCAAAACATGAAGAAGAAGTGTAAGACTTTAATGGAAGGAAGCTCACCACCTCGCTAACCTGCCTGGTCTTGAAGTAACCTACTACACTCGTTTGCTTGACTGGTCCGTCCTCGGAGATGTTGTGTTTAGCCTTCAGGTGAGCCGACATAGATTTTGTGCTTCCAGTTGCATCTTCTTTCATCATTGTACCACACACCCGCCCAGTCTTGGGATCAAGAACTTCACATTGGTTGGGACCTTCACCTCGTTTTTTACCTTTGATCTTGGTGAAATGAGTCCAGACATAGCTGCCTCGCTTACGTTTGGTACCTTCAACTACCACTGATGATGATTCATCATCACTGGTTTCCATGCGAGAAGAAGGTGCTGGAGTCGAATCTGGAGTGGATATGATGGAATCCATGGGTGGTACGAGGTATGTGGCATTTGACAATGATTTGATGATTTCCGATCGGAG